GATGTTAACGCACCGATCATTCCTTTCATCGAAAGGGGGCCCAGCTAGTATTATATATACACACACAGGGTAAGAGAGTGAGCGAGAGACAGAGAGACAGACAGAGAGACAGACAGACAGACAGACAGACAGACAGACAGACAGACAGACAGAGAGGCAGACAGACAGACATACAAACAGACAGATAGACAGATATATACAGACATCTTCGGAACAGTTACGTAAGCTTTGACCATGGTTTCCAACAACTTGGAAAGCAAATAACATCCCTGTAATGTTGTAGATTACTAATTACAGGGTGTCTTTAAAAAAGGACCCACATAAAGGGCAATAACTCAATTATCTCAACACCAATTTCAACAGAACTTCGAACGAAGGATATTCAACCTTGAGGATATCAAGTCTGAAATTAATACGAAGGAAATCAATCAAAGTGTTCTAGAAAAATCAAGTTTGATAGATTTCGACCAAAACTAGGTAAAACGCAAAATTTTTCTTCTTTAAAACGCTCAGCTGCAAGGGCGTGATCGGTACGTTCTGGTTCCAGAACAAGGATGGTAAAATAACGACGTCACATCTGAGGATATCTCACTGTACTGAGACAGTTTTGTAGAAATTTGAGGAGGGGGTGTTACACTGTAGAGGCCTGGTTCCAGTAAGATGGGTCCACACCCTATCCACAGGTCAAGAGTGACCCTTGTGTAGAACAAGAGAGGTTTAGGGAACACTTTATCAGCCGAAAGTTTACAAATGCATGGTCACCACATTCTCCCTAACTTGAGCCCTTTCAATTATTACCTTTGGATAGACAGAGTCTACGGAAAAAACGTACAAACAATCGAACAGTTATAACTCAATGTTGAATATGACGTCCAAAGAATTAGCCAAGAAACACGCCACGGGCCATTCAACATTTCCAGTGGCATACTGAAGCTTCAAGCGAGTTCAATACCTCGAGATTCAAATAGCCATCACCTCCATTCGTTCATTTGACAATATACATTTTGTATACATTTGTTCTTTACTGCACAAATAGGACTATTTGAAATGGAACATTATGACTGATTTCTAAGAAATTGCAAAGTTTTGCTTTTCACTCAATTTTGGTTGAACTTTTAAAAACATGACATTTTTCGAATACATGTACATCAACTGAATTTCTTCATATTTACGGAATTGATGTTGTGAAGGTTGAATTTTGTTTATTCAACGTTTTGTTGAATTGGTCCAAGGACGATCTAGTTATTGCCTCTTTTTTAGACACCCGGTACTTGAAACTTTCTTCTAGTTGCCTGTGGCTACAAAGTTCGTCTTCGGTCTTAAGGCGAAGTTTGCCGGAGTCCTTGATGAATCTTTGACATTGAAAGTACGCCCCAGTAAACAGTGAATCCTTGAGATTGAAGGTACCTGAGGCGGGTGCTCTGGTGTAATTTGCTCCTTCTTTCTTGTCTAACATCTATCGTTGTAATCTCTCCTTCTTTTTCGTGTTTGTTACTCTCTTGTAATACGTCTAATCTTCAGCACTTTAATGACGTAGTTATGTTGCTAGTGCCGTCAAACTGTTACTAAAAACGAAGGTACCTACCTGTAAACAGAGGCGCCACTTTCCATACGGTGATTGGCCCCTCAGAGGCAAACTGACCAATGGCGAGCTCAATGAAGAAGAGAGGCAGGCCGGCGATAAACAACATGATGATGTAGGGGAAAAGGAAGGAGGCTGTGGAGGGAGGGGAATAGACATTGGTTATTTCAGAATGGGTTGGGGGTGGGGTGAGGGGGGAGTAATTGAGAGAGGGAGGGAGGGAGGGAGAAAGA